GGCTTTCATTCAAATCTATTTTATTTCCCTTATATAATTTGTCAAAAAACCTTTGCAAGACTAAAAGTTTTTTTTTCACCTTATTACATCTTTCCCCCTTTTCATTCTTTATTACTCCAATTAAATTATTTGCTTTTTTGACTTGCATGGCTCTGGCCAGCATTTTGGAATTTTTATTACTATTTTCATAAAATTTCCTTTTCAAGTAAATTAGATTTCTTTGAACTTGTTCTATTTCAATATTTTGTATTTCTTTTCCTCTTGCTGTTAATTCTAACATCATTTGCTTTCTCTACTTTTAATGTATTTTTTCTCTAATTCTTTAATTTCTTCTAGTTTCATATGTTGCTCTTTTTAAAATTATACAAATATTTTATTCCTAGCCCTCTTACCACTGCTTTCATTGTATCCCATATTACACTTGTATTCCTACCTCCTTTTTCATTTATTTCCCATATTTCTTTTAATTCTTTTTCCATTTTTTCTGAAATCTCCTTTTTAAAGATCCTTAAATCTATCCTCCATCTATCTGCCTGTCTATAACCACATTCTATTTCCATTTCCATCGTTATTATTGCATGATCTGATATTTTAATTACTTTTATATCTGTATTAACTATCTTGGGCAATATTTCTGATGTTATAAATATATAATCTATTCCTGTAACATTTTTGTGTCTATTTGAATAAAATGTATATCTTTTCTGGTTCCCATTTAACTCTCTCCAAACATCTTTAAATCTGTTTTCATTGATAAATCTACTTTAGTCTGTATTCTTATATTTTATGTCTAATTTTGATGGGTTAGATTTATCTTTTTCTTTGTCCATAACCATATTATAATCACCTACCATTATCACATATCCTTTTTATTCTTCTATTTCTTTACATACCTTGTCATAAAACTCCCATTTGATTTGTATTAGGTGTGTATATATTAGCTAACATCACCTCTTGTCCATAAATTAGACCTTGTATTATGAGAAATCTCCCCAAGTGGTCTCTTTTTATAGCTTTTATTTTAAATTCACATCTTTTGGCAAAAATAATTGCAACACCTCTTGCTTTAGAAGTACCGTATGACTTTTCATATACATCTGCCCAATGTAATTTTAGTTCATTTACCCCATCTTTCTCTTGATGTATTTCTTGTAAAATATAATATCTGCTTTTTCTTTATATAGATTTTTCAATTCTGACTCGTTTATATCTCTCTCTCCCAAGCCATTTACATTCCACAACACAATCTTCTATGTTTTTCCAATTCTTTCAATACATCAAATGTTCTTTTTGGTCTCCACGTGTGAAAAAATAAACACACCAACAAACCCATAATAAAAAACTAAATGAACATGTCCCTACCCCCACCCCTCCCCTCCCCTTTCCCATCATCAGGACATGTTCTCCTCTCCACCGCCTTGGGCTTCCAAAGGGGGGGGGGGAGAGGAGTCTTACCTGTAAAGACCCCAGACAACCATTCCACCCTCCCCAATCATCTATACCCTTTTATTCTATACTCAAATTTCCCTTATATTTCAGTATTAATTTCAACACTAACAAATACAATATATTCAATATCTAATACATATAGATCTTCTTATCTTTTCATCCTTCTAAATATCCTCTTCTTCTGGATCTCCTCTTCTTTCTTCCTCTATGGAGATGGTGAGCCTCTTGTTGCTATGCCCAACTTCTCCTCCTCCCTGTCTCTCCTCTCCTTCTCTGTCTTCCTTCTTGAAAATGTAGACATATCCTTTAACTTTTGCATCTGTACTGTATATTCATCATCAAGAATAATCCTGAGCGTCTTCAGTAATTCCAATGCTTCCTCCTTTGTATCAACTGTGTAATATTTTCCACTATATGCAAACCTCATCAGGAACCCCCAACTATATTTAATGGAATTCTTTTGTAATATTTGGCAGACTTGGGACATATCTCTTCTCCACTGCAAAGTCTCAGTACATAGATCAGGAAAGACTTGAATCTGATGACCTTCCAGAATAATTGGTGTCATGTTCCATAGTTTCCGCATCAATTGCTCTTTTTTTGCATATGACCAAAATCTGACCACAATGTCTCTTGGTATTTTTCTTCCCTGTCTTCTTGGGCCAACTCTATGTATTGCGTCAATATCATATCTTGTAAAGGAAATATCAGGAAGAATATATTTAGCCCAATCCAATATTAGTTGGATCAATTTATCTTCATTCTCTTTCACATCCTCTGGATATCCTTTAAGACGTAAATTCGATCTTCGTTGTCTATCCCGGATCTCAATCACACTTTTAGAGACCTGGTCTGTCATGGTCATCTGGTTTTTTTTTTTAGTTCTTTATCTTGTTCTCTTACCTGTGCTTTCACTTCTATAATTATTTGAAAATTCTCTTTGTTTCGTTTTGCTAATTCTTTTATACTTCCATCCATGTTGTCTATTTTAACATCTATTTTCTTCGTCTTTTCTTGCAGATCATTAACACCTGCCATCACCTCTGTCTTCATTTTTCTTATTTCTTGTAGAAGTATAACAGAATTGTCCAACTGTATTGATGAAATTGTTGATTTTTCCGCTGATTGTTCTGGTGGTTTCTCCGGTGATTTTTCCAGTGATGTTTTCTTTTTTCCACCCATCTCTACTCTTTTTAGCCACAAATCTGATGGATGAGGTTTATGAGAAGAATCTTGCTTTACTCTAGGTCTTTGCCAAACCATCTTTTGCTCCTGCCTAACGTTGTCTGCATTTTTGCTACGTTTAGGCATACAGTCTACACTTATTATTTTCAACTTAGAGGAGAGAACCCTTGAGTTTGATGCTCCTATTTGCAGACCACAATTACGATTGAACTTTCAAACAATATATAAATCAGTAGCTGCAATTTGACCTTCAGCCAGCAGAGGGAGCTCAGGTATTACCGTTTGCAAATATAATCGTTACATAGTCTCTTGTTTCAGTTTCACTTCTGTTTCATTATCTTCCTGTTTTTCTCATAATAAAGATAAAATAGCACAAAAGAATTAATCCTGGGATGTTAATTAACTTTGATACACATTCCTTACAGCTCTGTCCAAATACTTTCTCTTTCAATACTTTTGGCACTTTCTCGGACTTCCAGCTGCATGGGAGGATGGAGGAGAGTCACTTCTTATCAAGAAAAACAATAAATATTCAAGAAAAACAACCTCCGCCTTATCTCTCCATCTCTTCGAGCTGCTTTTTGAGTTATTATAACAAGCAATTGAGGTATTTATAACAAATACTGTTTCTCAGTCCGTAATCAGCCAAAATATCGCTTACTCTGGGCTAGGCCCAGAAGTTCCAACTCACAAAAACAACTTTTGCTCTATGTCTGGTTTCAAGTCTTCCCAGGAGACAAACAGAGGAATTGACTTACATTTCATGCAACTGTCCAGTGTTCCTTAATCTTGATTTGAGTATATCTTAATCATGTTTTTGTTGATGATCAGGAGGAGGAGATTTTTTAGCATCTGAGATCCATCCCAGCTAGCTCTGCCCCCCCTTTCCCCCATCCTCTTGAGGTGCATCCCATCCCTTGCCAGAAGTCCATTGGCAAGAGACCGGGTGCTGTGGTTGAGGAACCCAAAATGTTTCTTCTGGCACCACATCCTAAGCCAGTCATTCACCTTGGCGACCCTCCTGTCCCTGCCTGGCCCAAATCCCCGGACTGGTAAAACAGATGAGAAGGCCACTTGGGCCTCAAAGTCCCTTGTGATCCCACCCACACCCTGCCTGGCTACATCATTGGTGCTCACATGCATCACCAGAAGCAGCTGGGGACCCCCGGAGGGAATGAGACGCTCCACTCTATCCTTCACATGCCAGATGCGTGCGGCTGGGAGGCAACAGACCTCCCTCGTCTCAAGGTCGGGGCAGCACAGCGCCTCAGTGCCCTTCAGCATGACGACGATCACCCACCACCATCTCTTCCCAGTGGTGGTAGGTGGCCGTGCCCTGGTCCTTGCCTCTCCTGCAAGTGGCACCCTTGCCGCTTGTCTGTCCTGCACTACTCCTCACTCACCCAGTTCTCCCCGTCTTGTCTGTCCTGCACTACTCCTCACTCACCCAGTTCTCCCCGTCTTGTCTGTCCTGCACTACTCCTCACTCACCCAGTTCTCCCAGATAAAAACTCCTACACACACATGGATAAAATAAAAATTTAATTGGGAAAAAAACCAAAACAAAATTAAAACTGCCCCCAGGGAAGGGAGTCCCCAGGCAGCCCAGGCCGCAGCTAAGGGACGCAGGCAAGGGATGATGCCTCATAAGCCTCTCAGGTCGGTGGCCCTGCCCCTCTGCTTCCTCCTGGCCCTCTAGCCTCTCTGGCCCCACCTCCCTTCCTCTCCGCTGCTCCTCTGCCCAGCTCCTACCTTGTCTTTGCCACTCCCCTGGCCTCCCTCAGCACTCTTTCCCAGCTTCTGCCTTTGCTGCTCTGCCAAGAGGCAAGAGCCAAAAGAGCCAATATACCACTACCAATTTTTTTCTCAAAAATTCTATCAATTTATTTTTCATTTGGAATAATAAAAATATCAGTAGCAAGCTGAACCTTGGTTTCAGATATGAATCATAACTGTTATTCCATAAAATATTATTTTCATAACTCAAACAGATTTTCAAAAAGTACTTTCCCTACTCCACCACTGAGGGAAATACAGTTAGCCACTTCTGAAACTCTTTTCAGTTTCCAAAAAAAGTTATGTCAAACAGCTTGAGGGGTGGTGGTGGTGGTATGGTTTAAGAAACAGAAAGCCCAAACCTACTCTATGTGCAATAACAGTTGTTTTGCATCCTGACAATACTCCTCAGCAACTGTTCTTCTCCTTTCTAATTAATTTCAAGACATTCATTTATCCTGTGTTATCCATTAGGGAACAACTTGTGCATTTACACAATTCCCTTCCTCCACTGAATGTAGTAAACCTAAATTTAGTGCAAACATGTGTTTATACTCCTAGAAACCTTCTTATTTCATATGCTTCCTTACCTGTGCCACCATATTTGTCTGCCATGTTGATATCAATGTCCAATTTCAAATTCAGCATTGTCTGGATGACATCATCACTGCCCTTCCCAGCAGCCCACATAAAAGATGTTCTTCCCTCAAGGTCTGAATCATCTTTCACAGAAGGGTGTTTCAAAAATGCTTCCACTGTTTCCTAGAATACAAATCTGCACTGTGCAAGGATGGTACTAAAATCAATATAAAATACAGTTTTAGAATTCTGAAAACATAATGTTTGCTTAATGAAGAAAACCTCCTTTTACAGAAACATGAAGGCAAGCCTGGATATACTGTCATTAATCAGGAAGAATTCTCAATCTTGAACATTGTTTAAGCCAATCAATTATTGGTTAGTATTCCAAGGCAAGACTTTGAATGGTCAAGATTAATTCATGTGTACAAAGAAAGCACTGTATCAACTGGTCTTGAAATATTGCATCTTTGTGCAGTGCATGGCTGGCTACAAAGCCTCACTTGTTAATATGAAATGTTGTATTGCTGAAAGTCCGCTGGAATGTGTTCCTATTTAGCTGTGCCTTGAAATGAAGTGATACTCACCTGGTTTGTATGACATAAGCCATCGTTTGCTGTCACCATGCTTGCATTCAGATATCATAATAATCTCCACTCATGAGTTGAGTATGGGTTGAGTGTAGGTTGTAATTGGACTGTGGGTTGTTGTTGAGACATGAATTATATTGTCTGGACTCAGCGAAGGTAACAAACATGATGAACAACCCACAGTTCATAACTCAACAACAAACCATGGGTTCCCTTCATGGAAGAAAGAGCCATGCATTTTCTGGTAGTATTGGTGGGTTGACAACATAGGGTGGGTTCAAAAACAACCTACACTGAACCTTTGAGTGTGGATTATCATGTTGTCTGAATTGTTTCAGTGTTTTTATTGTGATGTGTGCACCTGGAATGGTTATTTCATTGTGGGATGTTTTCTACAAATCAACCAACCAAAGAATCCATGAATGGCCCTACCTGACATTTGATGGCCAATCTACGACATGCTTGCTCCTTCTCAGTTTAATTTTGTTTGTACTAAGCAACAATAAGCTGCAATAAACTCACATGTGATATATGGGATTGCTGTATGTTCAGGGGCATCAATAACTGAAATATTTATGCAAATATTATGATTTGCAAACTTCTCCAAACCATCCTTGCTGTAAGAACAGCACTCTCTGCAATCCTGTATGGTCCAAATGGTAGCCTATATGCCAGAATTTCCCCTTGCAGCAACCATCTGGTCTTCAGGGCTGTTATTAATATTAGTTAAACATGCTTCCAGTTTCTCTTTTGAAAAAATGAAGCAGTAAGCATGTCCTCTTAACTATTGCTATCATATTCACATCCTAAAAAAGCAAATGGCCAATCTCCCTCTTTTCAGGCAGTATATTTGTTCCTCAGTTCCCCATAATCAATAAACCCATACCATCTGGATACATATGCTCCATATCTGTAGTGCCCTTACTGGTAGATAATATTAATTTTAATATAAGTCACCCTGATCATCCATGAGGGGATTGGATTGTTCTGAGCACATGAGGGAACACAGCTGTCCCGAAGAACAGAGATACTGCCCACCTGGCTCTGTTCAATTTGATTGCTACTGGTTATAACCACAATGTAATTTAAGACCAGAAAATGGAACCTTATGGACAGAGTCTCGCAACTAGAAGAAGCAAGTCATATTTTAGTTTCAGGATCTGTTATATTTTATTTGGAAAAGGAACTTAATCCAGTGGGTACAGGTATGTGACACTTCCTCAGAATTCAATATAGCTCAGTACGATATAGGGCTACTCAACACTACAGGGAATGTCACATTGTCATAGTATTTAGGAAGAAAGGCTATTATCTAATGTCTATTACAGTCTGAGCCTTCTGCTTTAATTGGGCATTGTGGTTAAAGCACATCCCATGGCTAGATATGGACAATTTTTTAAAAAATGCAGAAAGTTGGAGGAGGTGTAAGAGTGAATTTCCTACTGTTTGCTGCAGTAAGCAAGTTTTTCCATTTTTTCCCTTTCAAAATCTGTGAAGCTTGTTTAACCAAAGGTTATAGTAGGACAAAATAAATACATGAACACCACGGCAGAAGCAAGTAGTGAGTGGGGAGAACTCTCCCACATCTTTCATTTTTCTTATAAAAACACTATTTTCTATCTGCAGCCTATGATCTTTTAATATGAAGGGGTGCTATCACAAGCAGTATGACCAACAGCCAGAACAATTAATAAAAGGACTGGGAACACAAGTCTCTGTTGAAGTTGGATAGATAAATTTTACGATACCATGCTTGTTTCACTTACAGCAAAGTTGCTCTGTGCTGCATAATGTAAAGGTGTTGCCCCTTGGCTGTCAGATGGGATGGTCCTAACTTTGTTTCTTTCTAAAAGAAGATGGACAATCTGTGCATGACCTAAAAAAGAGCAGAATGGCACACAGTAGGATATAAACACTGTATTCTTCATTTGGAAAGATGTGCTCTAGATTTTGTCTCCTATCCTATGAGAGAACATTATAAATACTAAAAACCTTTCCAGCCCTGGAAGATTTGAAGGAATCAAATGAGGGTTTGTCAATATGCTTTAAATCCATAGGTTGGATCCAGATGAAGTAAATTACACTTACATGTACCTATGGAATCCAGGAGGCATTCTTCCAGGTAACCCAGCCCCAAGCTGTTTAGGGCTTTGCAGGTTAAAATCAGCACTTTGAACTGGGTCCAGAAACAGACTGGTAGGCAGTACAGATGGAAAAGTACTGCCATTAAAAAAAATCACATTGGCTAGTCCTAGTTAGCTGTCTAGCTGCCATTTTGAACTAATTTAAGTTTCTGGGCCATTCTCAGGCCTCATGTACAACCAACCACAAAAAAAATCCAAACAAAAGGTTAGGAAATTACAAAAAACTGTGACAAATCTCTGATAGGCCCACTCTGGACCTCAAGTGACAATGTCAGATCTAAGAGAGCCCAGAATATGAACCTGCTCCTTTAGGGAAGTACAAACCTATACAGACCATGTTAAATGCCACTTAACTAGGCAGATGGACCTCTGATTGCATATATCTCCATCTTTCCTCTTTTGACTTCTTTGGACTGTTTTCCCTGCCAGCTAATCTTACACTGGTAGTCTTACTGTAGATTTCTCAAGCACAAGATGCTGCTAATAAGTGCCAAGTCAGAGGCAAGAAAGGTGCCAACAGTTTGCGATATATTATTGGAAGAAACCTGGGTGGATGAAGGGGAGGTCTGAGCACCTCCCAGTTACATCCTCTACGTTACATGGTGTAATGTTAATAATGTTGATGGGCAATGTTTGAAGGGCAAGAATGATGGATAGCTGTAGTTCATAGGGATTCCATCTTCCTGTTAAGACAGCCTATTTGACTGTTGACCAACTCTGAACAAATGTACCTGATGTAGAAAGCTCGACATAATTGGGTTTTTGTTGGCATATCAACCACTCCATAGTCTCCTTGCCTAAGCTAGTAGAAGTGGTCTTGGATGTCGTATTGACCCTGTAGCTTTTGGTTTAGTTGTAATGCAGCCTCCATACCAAGGCCACCTTATCAGGAGTAACTCAGGATTTCATGCCCACCAGTGAGACTACATGCCTGTCTAAAATTTTATCTTACCCAATGAATAAGACAGTAAAATTATATCTTACTGAATCAAAAGGGCAGTTTACTATAGTCCTTTTCAGGCATTTTGCATCTGAACAGGACAATACATAAGAAGGCAAGCACACCAAGCCTGTTATGGAGGGTGACTGCCTGGAGAGGAGAGCCTCCCATATCTCTGAAATCTCTCAACATGAACCAGAGTACTAGAAAATCCAAGTTCTGGATCATGTTGGGAGCCACTCCAGCCAAAGAGGCTTTGCAGTTCAGACAGAGGCAGTTAAAAAGTGATGACGGTGCAGGGCAGGACTGGACCACTTGCTCTCCTCATGTGCTAGCCTATTCAGTTACAGGGCTTCACTGAATCTAGTTTTCTGTATTGGACTAGAGGAAAGTATTCTGTGAGTGGGGGAGCACAGATTGCATGCTGCCTTAAACCTTCGCTAGCATGATGATTTCCATAGACCATCTCTAGAATTTTAGATCCAGATGGTTTTCTGATGTTTTTGTAGGATTGCCCTACAGAACTGGTTGGTTGTCATGCTTGGCCTTTAAATATGATTGCCCTCAAATGTCCTCAACTGTAAATGTCTTTAAAGTTATCTCTACTTTATGGAATTCTGTGGAGTTAAGGATGATGAAGCCTCACAAGAACATATGGCAGCAATACAAGCTATCTTACAGTCTATTTGATGGTAGTGAAAAAAGTACCACCATTGCCTCTGTTCAGTATCAGCCATCAGAGCTCTTTCATTTCAGCAGCACTCTGCTTAAACCATTAAATGTCCACCATGCCCAATTTGCATTACATTTTGCAGATAAAACCACTTGCATTGACTCAAAGTTAGATGCCATAATTTTGACAGAAGAGATGGATGTAGCCAAAGTGCCATCTGGAGCAATTGTTACGGATACTTTTCAGCTTGTGCAGACTGAGGATGTTGACAAGCTACTTGGAAGGATGAGACCAGCCATGGATCCTTGCCCATTCTGGCATCTGAAATTTGCCAGGACTGAAACACAAATTTACTTTTTGTGTATCAAAAGCAGGGAATGCCTCATGATACCAAAGATTTTGTAGACGGTAATGGTAACACTGCTTCTGAAAAAGCCAAATCCAGAAAATTGTAATAGCTGTGGACCTACGATGCAGCATTCACAGCATGGCATTCAGTGACTTCTGTTTCAGCATTTTGTCACTGGACGTTGGGATGCTTCAAGGCTCACTCTTGCCTCCCATGCTTTTCAACATAATATATTTTGCATAAAGTCATATAGAGATTAGGCTGAGGAGTCACAAATACATGGATAATGCACAGCTCAACCCCTTTTCTACCACCCTAATTTCAAGGTGGTGGTGAAAACCCTAAACCATGGAAGAAATTTGGGGGTGGATGAAGACAAACAAGCTGAAGCACAATCCAGACAAAACTGAAGTAAAATTCAGTATTTACCCAGTAAAGCTGCCCAGTGAAGGGGAGTTCGAAATAAATTATCATAAGAGGTAACATTGCAACCCTCATAGGAGGTCAACAGATCAACCACAGCCACATTCCCATCTGCAACTGCAAAGTGGAGGGGAGTTCGTCCTTCATAATCTTGCCAGTTCAGCAGCGATTCAGTTGGAGCAGCATCCTAGTTTGTAACAATGCCAGACATGGTATACTGAGCTAGAAAAATAACATTAACTTCCTATAGATCACTGATACTGCACACATATTTGGTAATATAATCAGAGGCTAACAAAGGCAAGCTATTTTTATAATTACAAAATTATAAACCCTAACCCTAACCCTACTCATATTTAAACCCAATATTTAGACTGTAATCAGCTCCACTGACAAACTGCTGTTATCATCAAGAAGTTTCTCCTGTTCCACTGAAACCTTTCCTTCAATAAAGCAAGTTCATTAAATTTAGTCCTGTTCTTTGGCCTCTTCAATATAACAACCTTTTCATATATTTGAAGTATACTCTCTATCCCTCTCCTGGCTTTTCTTCATTGAAGTAAATATACCCAGTTTATCCATTTTTCCCTCTTAAGCTGACTATTTTGGGTAACTGCTTCTGAATCACCCCATTTTGTGCATATCCCTTTAAAAGCATGGCACAAGGAACTCGGCAAAACAGGTGTCTGATTAGTGCAGAAAAGGGAGAAACTAATACTTCCAGTATTCTGTGTGATACAAGAATAACTGCCACTAAAGTTAGAAGTTCCATCAGAGTGATACATATTTGAACAGAAACAGAAACTCTTACCAAAATGCATTTGACAGTATGTACTGCACTGGGATCTTTGTGGTTAGCTGCCCAATGTAGTGGAATTTTGCCTTCAATATCTGGGATTCCAATATTAGAGTCATGTTTAATTAGAAGTTTCACGTGTTCTGGGTTGTTGTAATAAGCACTCCAGTGAAGAGCAGTTTGCTGGGAGTAACAGAAGAGACAGAAGAAAGTTTTAAATAAAATAGCATTATAGAAATAAAATTCTTTATATATGACATCAAATTTTTACAAATTATAAAGACTAAGAATAGTTGAAAGTGAGAAAAAGCTAGTTAAGTAGAAGTTCCTAACTTACTTCTGTTCAGTCTCTGAATGTCATGAACTCATGTCTATCACTTGCTCTTCATCCTCAAGTTTGAGTTCAGAATCCAATACAAGAATGCAGTAGCCTGAGAAAGTGGTGCAAGGCAGTAATCCTTTGCCCCACAGCACTGTTCTGTTTTCATCTCTTCTGAATTACTTGTTTCAGAAAAGATAGCAAGAGAGAGAAGCTGATTCAAAGTAACAAATCTGATTCAATAGTCAATATGAAAACTAACTTCAGCAATTCTACAAGAAATGGCCAAACTGGCAAATTTCCAATGGAAAAGGAATTACACATTCCACGTGGAAAGTTTTGGAACTAACCAATGAGACTTCCCTTTTAGGGTGCTTTCAGACAGTTCTTAATGCAACCAATTAAAAGACATTGAACAGCTATTCCATCTTTTTGTCCTTAACAGACATCTGTTAATGTAAAGAAAAAAGGAAGGTGTGGGAAAACACAGCAGGGTTACAAGTGGAAGACAGCATTATCAGAGTCTTTCATAAAATTCTCTGTTTGAGGCAAGGCAATTGCATAATTAAAATATCATGTGGGAACAACTTTAGTTTCTTATGTAACTCACAGAGAATTCAGAGCATAGGATGCAATATGACATATGGAAGAACAAGCCATTCAAGTGTTCTAGCCATTAAAAATGTTCAGAGTTGTTTCCAGATTTATGCTGGATCAGTTGTACTGGCAAGAGTGAACTTCCCACCCCCTTTGGCCCTCTGAAACTACTACACAGAGAATCAGAAGGCCCTGATGAATTGGGTGAACTATATAGAGGATTTCAAAAAGTTGGGCAGGGAAATCTTCTATTGAGAGGAGCCTTTCCATTCATCTTGCAAGCTCTTCTTGAGGGAAAGGGACACAAGCACCAGTTACTAAGCAGTAGAAAGTTCCATGATTCATTTTCTTACATGCAGAACACATTAGTGGGACTTCTCAGTAAAAACAGTAAAACTGGACATTAAAACTAAAATGCATTTTTGACCTTGTTCTTGTCCTGTGTGTCCACTTCTCCTGGTGCCATGTATTTTAGTAACAAAGCTAAGCACTTTGGACTCTTGTGCCGGGTAGTTAAGTGTAAAGGAGTAATTTCTTCCAAATCTTTCTTCATCCAGTTTGCTCTACGAGCAAGGAGAAGCTTCATAAAGCGATAGTTTCCCTAAGTAATAACAGAGGAGCAAAAAGATGGCAGTTAATTTCAAGTAGATTAGTAATATATAAAGAACAGGTAAATAAATAATTTAAAAGGCAATAATTAAGGACAATGGCAGGTTATAAAGCAACCTCCTCCTTTAAGCAAAAGTATTATTTTACAGTCAGGCCCACTGTTGTGCTAAGGACAAACTCTCAGGTTGGGGAAAGTTGCTATGAAATGATGCTGAGAGTTGGTTCTTACCCTAACAATGGCCTTGACTGTAAACCAGAACTTTTACTCCAAGAGTGTGGCAGGTTTGGCATACTAGAATGAATCTAACATCAACAATGATGTAGGCAATTGTCACACTCTGCATAGCTAACCTGAAAGGTCCATGTGACTATGGTATGGACTCATGAAGCACAAAAGGGATTTTTGTGTGTTCTCAGTTACTATTTTAATAAGGTTTCCTTTGTGATCATGCCTTCATCAAAAGAAATTCAGAAGAAAATAATTTATATGGGATTCAGCTGAAATGGGCTGACATTCATTATGATATCAAGTTGCCATCAGAAACAGACCATTTGATGAAATGGTCTTGAAATTGATGTTGGGCCTTAGTCTTATAAACTGCCACAGGTTTTATAATAATAGTAGCAAAACCAGAGGATACATGAACCATGATCCCAACAAAGGCAAGTATTTAATGATGAATAGCTACTCATACTGAATGTCATATCCACATAGGACTAATTTTAAACAAAAAGAGAACATCAGGAAATTAATTGCCAAGTCCAGAGCATATTCTCAAGTTTAATGAATAGGCCTTCACAATTAAAGAACCTGCTGATCATTATACCAGAGAATACAAAACCTATGATAGAGAAATGGCGCCATCTTCTGAATCTATATTAAATTATCTTGAAAACCATGGCGATCACCTTCACCTTTATATTTTATATGAGAAGCTTCCTAAGGCTCACACAAGCAGGTGAATTCTGTGTTCAGTTTTCTGCCTCATCTTCTAATTCATGGCAGCAAAATTCTTAGATTTGAAAATGGATATGGAAGGAGAGTAACAACTATTACTCCTCTTCAAAGGAAAAGCCATTTTCATCAAATGATGCATCACCTAAGGCCACCTTCCACAATGCAGTACATCATGGGTATTGTTGCACCAGTGTGACTTCCCTTGGAATCTGCAATATGTCCCTTTCAGATTTTTAAATAAATGTTAAAGAATCATGCAGCTCAGTGCACTTCAAAGGTATTCTTCAAAAAGTAAAAGGGTGGAAAGCTGCAGGATCCTAAAGGCCCTGCTCTGAAGTATGCTGCCTGTTTAGAAGGGGCAGAGAAGTGAGAAGAGAGGAAGATAACAGGGGTGGGGGGAGTGCCAAGGGGTGATGAGGAGCTGGGGAAGGCTGTACAGCAATAGGTCCAGAAAAGGTACCAGGGCAGCTGTAGTGATGCTAAAAAAAGAGGTGTGTGTGTGTATATGATGGTTTAATGGTTTCAGTCCTGCTATGTATCTAAATGGTAGAGATGTGTGAGGTATGTGGAGACCTGAGAATGAAAACTTTGCGGAATGATTCTGAAAGAAAGAGTGCATGTGTGTGATTTAGTTGTGATCCTGGGGGAGAACAACTAAGGGTGCAGATGTGCACCTGTACAGTGATTCTGGGGAAGAAGAAGCAAGGATATGAATGCATATTTAGGTGCTGATCCTGAGAGGGAAAGGGTATATATGAGTTTTTTGATAGTAAATATAGGGAAAAACCCCTTCATGGATCACTGCCTTATCATGGTGAAGGGGCTTGCATAGCTCATTGAAGGTATAAGCTATGCTGTGCAGGGCCACCCAAGACGGACAGGTCATAGCAGAGAGCTCTGACAAAACGTGATCCACTGGAGAAGGAAATGGCAACCCACTGCAGTATCTTTGCCATGAAAACCCCATGGACAGTACCAAAAGGCAAAAAGATATGTTGCCAGAAGTTGAGCCCATCAGGTCGGAAGATGTCCAATATGCTACTGGGGAAGAGCAGAGGGCTAGTACTAGTAGTGCCAGAAAGAATGAAGCAACTGGGTCAAAGCTGAAAGGACACTCAGTTGCAGGTGTATCTGGTGGTGAAAGGAGAGTCCGATGCTGTAAAGATCTATACTCCATAGGAACCTGGAATGTAAGATCCGTGAATCAAGGCAAGCTGGATGTGGTCAAACAAGAGATGGCAAGACTGAACATCGACATCTTGGGAAACAGCGAACTAAACTGGACAGGAATTCATGATTTTAATTCAGATGACCATCAGGTATACTACCACGGGCAAGAATCCCTCAGAAGAAATGGAGTAGCCTTCATAGTCAATAAAAGAGTAGGAAAAGCAGTACTCGGATACAATCTCCAAAATGACAGAATGATCCCAGTTTGAATCCAAGGCAAACCATTCAAAATCACAGTAGTCCAAGCCTGCCCCAACCACTGGTGCTGAAGAAGCTGTTGACTGGTTTTATGAAGGCCTACAACATCTTCTAGAATTAACACCAAAAAAGATATCCTTATCATCATGGGGGACTGGAATGCTAAAGTAGAAAGCCAAAAGATAACCAGAATAACAGGCAAGTTTGGCATTGGAATACAAAATGAAGCAGGGCACAGGCAGGTAGAATTTTGTCAAGAGAATATGATGGTCATAGCAAACACTCTTTTCCAACAACCCAAGAGACAACTTTACACATGGACATCACCAGACAGTCAACACAGAAATCAGACTGACTATGTGCTCTGCAGCCAAAGATGGAGAAGCTCTATGCAGTCAGTAAAAACATGACCAGGAGCTGACTGTGGCTTAGATCATGAGCTTCTTGTTGCAAAATTTAGGCTTAAATTGAAGAAAGTAGGGAAAAGCGCTAGGCCACTCAGGTATGACCTAAACCATATCCCTGATGAATATACAGTAGAGGTGACAAATAGATTTAAGGAATTAGATCTGATAGACAGAGTGCCTGAAGAACTGTGGACGGAGGTTCACAACATTGTACAAGAGGTAGCAATTAAAACCGTCCCAAAGAAAAAGAAATGCAAGAAAGCAAAATGGCTGTCTGAGGAAGCTTTACAAGTAGCTGAGGAAAGAAGGGAAGCGAAAGGCAAGGGAGAAAGAGAAAGATACAAACAATTGAATGCAGAATTCCAGAGAATAGCTAGAAGAGATAAGAATGCCTTCTTAAATGAACAGTGTAAAAAAGAAGAAAACAATAGAATAGGGAGGACCAGTGATCTCTTCAAGAAAATTGGAGATATGAAGGGAACATTTCATGCAAAGATGGGCATGATAAAGGTCCAAAATGACAGGGACCTAACAGAGGCAGAGGAGATTAAGAAGAGGTGGCAAGATTACACAGAAGAACTATACAAGAAAGAGCTTAACGTCCCTGATAACCATGATGGGGTGGTCACTGACCTTGAGCCAGACATCCTAGAATGTGAAGTCAAATGGGCCTTAGGAAATCAGAGCAACAAACAAAGCTAGTGCAGGTGGCAGTATTCCAGCTGAGCTGTTCAAATTCTTAAAAGATGATGCAGTAGAAGTGCTACACTCAATATGCCAGCAAATTTGGAAAACTCAACAGTGGCCACAGGATTGGAAAAAGTCAGTTTACGTTCTGATACCAAAGAAGGGCAATGCCAAAGAATGTTCAAACTACCGCACCATTGCACTCATTTCACATGCTAGTAAAGTTATGCTCAAAATCCTGCAAGCTAGGCTCCAGCAGTATGTGGATCGAGAACTACCAGAAGTACAAGCAGGGTTTCAAAGAGGCAGAGGAACTAGAGATCAAATTGCCAATATATGCCGAATCATGGCGAAAGCTAGGGAGTTCCAAAAAACATCTACTTCTGCTTCATTGACTATGCTAAAGCCTTTGATTGTATGGATCACAACAAATTGTGGCAAGATGGGAGTACCAGACCATCTTATTGAGAAACCTATATGCGAATCAAGAAGCAACAGTGAGAACTGAACACAGAACCACTGATTGGTTCAAACTTGAAAAGGAGTTCGGCAAGGCTGTATACTGTCGCCCTACCTATTTAACTTATATGCAGAGCACATCATGAGAAAGGTGGGGCTAGATGAATCACAAGTTGGAATTAAGACTGCTGGGAGAAATATCAACAACCTCAGATATCCAGATGATACCACTCTCATAGTGAAGAGGAACTAAAGAGCCTCTTGATGCGGGTGAAGGAGGAGAGTGCAAAAGCTGGCTTGAAACTCAACATTAAGAAAACTAAGATCATGGCATCCAGTCCTATCACTTCCTGCCAAATAGATGGGGAAGAAACAGAGGTAGTGACAGATTTTATTTTCCTGGGCTCCAAGATCACTGCAGATGGGGACTGCAGCCAAGAAATTAAAAGACACTTGCTCCTTGGGAGCAAGCTATGGCTTACTTCTTGGGAGAGCTATACTAAAAAGCAGAGACATCACCCTGCCAGCAAAAGTGCGTATAGTCAAGGCCATGGTTTTCCCAGTTGCAATGTATGGCTGTGAATGTTGGACCATAAGGAAGGCTGAGGGCTGAAGAACTGAAGCCTTTGAATTGTGGTGCTGGAGAAGACTCCTGCAAGTCCCTTGGACTGCAAGGGGATCAAACCAGTCAGTCCTAGAGGAGATCAACCCTGACTGCTCTTTAGGTATTCAGATTCTGAAGATGAAACTCAAATACTTTGGCCACCTAATGAGAAGGAAGGACTCCCTGGAGAAGAGCCTAATGCTGGGAACAATAGATGGCAAAAGAAGGGGACGGCAGAGAATGAGGTGGCTAGATGGAGTCACTGAAGCAGTCTGTGTGAGCTTAAGTGGACTCCGGTGGATGGTGGAGGACAGGCAGGACTGGAGGAATGTTGTCCATGGGGTCGCGATGGGTTGGACACGACTTTGCGGCTAACAACAACAACAAATTCACAATACCACCAGGAATTATATGTTGCAATAGGGTACATATGCTATTTGTACGAGCTT